ATCAGTACTTCGTTCCAGTTACATATTGCTCCCTCGTAGCAAACTATATTAAATAGGTTAGTTTATTTTAAGTTTTGAGCTGGATTAAGACCAGTGAATGCAAAAGCGTATTTTGATCATCACTGGTTGCTTGTTTCATAATGCTTTTCCTTTTCTATTCGGTGAAAACCCATTAACAAACCTGTAAACCCTTATGAGGATAAATAAGCAATATATGAGCCCAGATAAGAAGCACACTGTAAAACTACTGGACCAGGAAGGGGGTAGGGTGGGGAGCCGTGTGATTTGGTGGGGAGAAAGCTAAGTGAACAAGCGAGATGGATGTGTCAGGGGACTTTAAATAGCCTCATGATTACCTTGTTACGTATCACATATAGTGTGGATGCAAACAAAGGTTTAAAGTGTCTGCGCTTGAGCTAACTTTAAAGGAATATGAAAAATGTGGTTGTCGGTTATTAAATTGTACCGTTGGCCGCTGGACACATGTAAATGTGATGTTTGTGTCCTTGGTTTAGAAACAATAATCCTGAAACAGAAAAGTGATCTTCAAAAGAAAAATCACCTTTAGTTAGTTAGTCAAATCAAATCAATAAGCTATTTAAAACATGTTAGTTATCAATGAGCAATACACCAAATTTTGTAGCCTGCGTAACTTAGCGTCGAAAAAGGTGAGGTAGGGGATAAGGAGGAAGGGAAAAGGAGGTTCTCCCTCCTCCTTCCCTTTGCCTCTGCCACCAGGCTAGAGGTACAGGCCTGTTGCCCCAACCCGCCACCTACCCTCCCTGGATTGTAACATGATTGTCAGCAGGCTCCCAATCAAAGACAAAAAAATGGCAGCTGAGACATCAGTTGTTTTCCTTCGATGTGAAGATGATAAATTAACTGCTGTCATTAATATTGTAGCAGAGAAAAAACGAGGTGATATTAAGGAGATTCTGATTTTAAAACAAAAAGAATAGCCAACTGTGGAATCGCTGTTTGATAAAAATCGGGACGCTTGACCCAAAAGGTATTAATTGAATGCGATATTTCGGCAGTATTTATTAATACTGAGTTTAAGAGATTATTGACCAGACTTAGAACTTTCAGGGAATCAGTCAGTTTTAAGTCAATTTATCTTTAGCGTATCTCTTCGTTTGGGTTCCCCTATGGGTCCAAAATTTTAATTATTAAGTTACATGAGCTTTAAAAACTGCAATGACCTGGTATTCGGATATTAGAATCTTTAAAGCTTTTATTATATGTTTCACGACGCTTTTTCGCGTGCGTTGGCGGGTGTCCGACTTTTATTTCTTCAGTGTTACCCTAGAGTTATAGAAAATATGTTTAATCTTGCATAAATAAAATTTCCACAAAAGAAAGAAAGATAACACAGTAACTGTTTGTTGTTTTGTTTCATCGCAAAAATTATTTGAAATTATATATTGTAAGGAGAAAAGTGTTTCCTTACCCACTGGATCTTTTAGGATTTTTTTTTTGACCAGTGGCTAGTTCTCATGGGCTATTGATTAATTCCTTACTGCTTGAGAAAAATGTTAGTGTGAACACTGTAACCCTAGCCCTGGAAAATTAATTGCGCTGTTTTTATAACTTTAATTGACATTTTAATTGCAATTTGACCATCTTCTTATGACAGTGATGATGGTGATGACGATTATGTATCTTAGTCATTTATGATGGTTAATCATTGATTATACAGGGCTTCCGATATTTTGCAGTCGTGGCCGTGAAATTCAGGTAAATCGCAAAATCCCATAGGGTTAGCGAAAACTGCATAAAATACCGCGGTGTCGGAAAATCTTATCAAATTCATGTCTGTACAACCAATTTTGAAACCTCTCACCTACTGGATGTCTTTACTTGCTGTAAACCCCCAAATTTATGTCAACGTCTTCACTGAAATGTGCAAACAATGTTCGAAACTACCAGGTGTAGATTATGGTGCGAAAAACTGGGCAATAGCCATGATATTGAGACTTTGCCATTGGTTCATTTCTGGAGGCGTATCGTGTTGTTGAAGAAGCAAATGATGACCTCTGTTAGAAACATTAAAACGCTGGTCTGATCAATACAAAAAATCATTCGATTTCTGGCGAAATTTGCCCTGAAAAAATCCGCCATGTTTTACCGATTGTTTTTCTGACCAAGTTTGCCAGAAAATTCCGTGAAATTGGCGATTTTCCGTAATTTTGTCCCTAAAAATTCATGAAATGTGACTTTTTTTTCCACGACCTATCAAGCCTGATTATATGCTGTTTCCAATTTTGTTATTTTTGAATCATACTGAAGACTATCTATACTGATATTTCTATAGTCAGCACTGAAAAAATAGCATTCTTGGATGATCCAGGTTTATCATTGCTCATATTCGTCCTCCTCGTCATCACCGATGATACCGGTGATATGCATGTATAAAGTATAACATTCTGGGCGTGTCGGTAAATTCCTACAAACAACAGTCTTGAAAAATAGCAACAAGATAGATTAAATGGTGTCAAACAGTTTAAACATGGGTTGAAACTTCGCCGATTGCAAAAAAGTGCAAATACAGTAGACCCCAAAACAGCCCTGCCGCACTCAATGCTTTGTCACGAAAAAAAAACTTCTGGTTCCCCTAAATTCAGGACTATTACACAAAGTGTAATTTGTATAAAAGTGATAAGTTCAATTGAAAATTGTTGTGTTTCCTAATTAACATGATAATTCTGTTTTACATGAGGGCATGTGTGAACAAGTGATAATGAATGAGGTGGAGAATGAAAAAAAGCAATCCAAGCAAGCAAAAAAACTCATTGGGAGATATTCTATTGACAGGTTAGCATGTTTTGTCATTTAAAGTTCACAAGTTTACTTGCGTTGACTGCAGCATTTTAACCAATCCCATTGGAGATCAGGCAGAAACATGTTATTACATTAGACCAAGTCATAAAAGCTTCACTTATACTTCAATGGAAAAGGGAAAAGAAAACATTTTTTGTTTATTTGTGTGCTATGGTAATCACCAAAACAAGAGACATTTTATCTTTTTCAAATGATATTAATAGTAAAAAGCTTTCAAGCTTTTGATGTTATAAAATGTACATGTAGCCCCTTTTAAGTACTAACTGATTTACAAACACCTTATGGTTTTTAGGGAATTCCTGGACTTCCCAAGTTATCCGCAGTCATTTGATATTGCAGTAAGTCCAGATATTCTCAGTCTAAGGAATTCTAAATCACAAGGAAAGGGTGATCGTGGTAGGAGAGAGAGGTACAATGTTAAACAGTATTGTGTTAATGGCAAGAGTGTTGTTTATCAGGAACTTGCTTCATTAACACATAGTTAAGCAAGCTAGCAAAATTTAATGAGTTTGCTAATGTCCCAAGAAAGCTCAACCAAATTTGGACATTGTCGTGTTGGCTTTTGAATCTGCTCAGCAGTAATTAACATATCCTTTTGAAGATGAGTAACTACATGTAAACACCATTTACACGTGCTAAAAAAATCGGCATGGCACGCCAAATTTTTGGCACAGTGCTGACGATTTTAAGGCATAGCACTCCTAATTTTCGACGAGTAAACGTATCGGTCCCAAATGTAATGTGGCACCAGTGCTCAAAATTTTAGGGGTGCCGAGATTACCTCCTGGAGGTAGTCTCAACACAGGTAAACGAAGCACGGTGCCAAAAATTTGGCATGCTGTGCCTATTTTTTTAGCGCGTGTAAATGGGGTTGTAAACTGATTCAAACTTTCCTAAATAATTTCTGAGCTCTCTGTAAAAGATCAGGTGATGAGGTGTATCAAGCCTTTTGCTTTCAGGGTGAATGTCCCGGGTAGAGGATGGGGGAGGGAGGGGTGTACTCCCTGTAATGGCCTGTACAGGGAGGCCCTGCTTGAAGGGGTACCTTTTTTAGGTTTCAGGTATAGTGCATGAAAGGGCAGGGTTTTCACAAGTTGAATTTTATGAAAGGGGTATGGAAATCTGTCATTTTAATCTGTAATTAGACCCAAAAAGGATAACAGATCTATGCATTTTACTGCTGGGACAAAGTTGACAAAACATTCCAGTTTTGTGATTCACCTGTATTCATATTTTAAGAAAGTGGATTTACAGCAGTCAAATGTAAAGTTTTAAACTAGGTATGTGGAAGGGGTATCACTTGTCAATAGAAGGTATAAGAATGGGCTACCTTTTCTTTCAAAAGGGCATTTAAAAGGATAAGGGGTCAGACCTCAGGTTGGGTGGGGGGGGGAGGTTAATGATGGACTCTTGTAAGGTGGCTCTAACTTTTCAGTCTTGCCGTGTGACCATTCACTTCGTTGTCACTAAGATTTCAAATTGGCAGTTAGAATAAACGAGACAGTACATTTGTAGGAGGGGAAATCAAGCAGCTAGATTCTAATTTTCTTCTATTTTCCTATGGAAGTAGCTAGAAGAAATCCCTGACCCCTGATCCTCACAGCCTGGTGTTCAAATCAAACCTCTTTGTCATTAATTTCAAATGGTACATGCAGCACTATTTTTTTTTCATTACTTTCCTATAAATGTAAATTGTAAATGAAATTTGAATTTTTTCTCTCAGTTTGACATTATAGTCGCATTGAGAAGTGAAAGGGTTGGAGTAAAGGAAATAGGTTTTAAGATTTGATGCAAAGTTGGACTAAATCTTTGTGGTGGCCAACCAAAATTATTGTGACTTACCGGCTCTTTGGACTTGTATGATTGTCCTTGTTATCTACACCCATTAATGAGTAACTTGTGCCTTTTTTATCTTTAGGAATACAGAAGTAAAATGCAAGACTGTGTCATGGAAGGAGGGTGAAAAAAGTACTTTGAGTGGTATGTGTTGAGTTTTTAGATCCCTAAGAGAATGTGTCGCAATATTGAGGCAAAAGTAACAGCTTTCATTTGACTGGTCCTGAGATCATTTCATTCACCTGAGTAGTCCCAGACGTCACTATGTGCAGGCAAAAAAGACTGTCTTATGTAATCTTGTTTCTTTTTTTGTTTTTTCAGCTGAAGATTTGTCTGATGTGTTTGGTAAGAGGGAAGTAAAACAAGAGAAAAGTAAGACAGTTGCAGTTTCTCAGCTTAGTAGACAGCTGGAGGAATCTATTGGCAAACCAAACAACCCATTCTTAGAATACTCAAAGTTTGATGGAGAGGTAAGTTGAGAGAAAAGTTTCTGGTTTCTGGTTTCTGGTTTCTCTGCGTGACGTGTTTGATGCCAAAATAGTCTGAAATTGTTATTTTACAAATCATCCTACCCGAGTTTATACTGTAGCGCTGAGAACGTTGACATGCTGTCAACTGAAATAAGGAAAGATCTATTACAAAACACAGCTGATAATTAATTGTCCACATTAGGTAAGCAAGGTTGACTTTCTGTGAGAATCCATTTTTTGGGTAAAAAACAAGTGTCCATTGTCCGCATTAATGGGTTTCCGTATCAAGTGGGTTAAATCTAGTGAAACTGTAAGTGCTTTTCCCTAGTCATCCTTAGAACAGGATTAGGCTGTAATTATCAACTCTACTGAAGTCGAGACTTGGGGTTGAAAAGTGTGTACAATGTATGCTAGTGTACTGAGCTGTGAGGTAACACTTGAGGTACAGTGCAAGCATTATATTTTTGTAATTTTATCCTTTTATGGCTTTTAGGTATATAACAGATACTTTATTTTGAAGTTATTTGATAAAACTCCTATTGGATAAGTTTAGTTTCAATGCACACACTCACAACCCTAGTCTCCTTCACAGAACATGCTGTGAAGGAGACCATCACAACCCATGATAAACTGCCATGTTTTCGTTCTGAACTGCCTTTAATTTCAAGTAATGGGAGAATCCGAGTTACCTTTAGCTTTTGTTATAGTACATAAAATATGTTGTAAAGCCCCTCACAAGTAGATGTATTTGTTAACGACCATTGTTCCCCCCACTACATTTACCAGTGAGTAAGATATTTTGCTATGCTTTGCCTTTGTTTTAAGGTCAAACAGTTTTGTCCTTGTCTTATCTTATCGCAGGCATATCAAAACTCCTACATGTATACCACCAAGAAATACAAAATTTTTTTGACCATGCAGTCGGAGGTAAGAATACTGTATCATAGGGAATGTGATCAACCACAGATAGGAAGCAGTTGAATTAAGATCAGTATAAATGCCAAGAGACTCAAAAATAAATGAGCATAAGGCAAGCCTCTGCTTGCATTTTATATTAATTAGTATTTTTGTGCCAATTCTTTACCCTCCTTACAGGGCTTCTGATAGGTCGCAGACAAAAAAGTCAAATTTCGCGGGATTTTTAGAGACAAAATCGCAGAAAAATCGGACGATTTCGCGGGAATTTCGTGGGAATTTTCGGGGCAAACTTGGCCGGAAAGCAATTGGTACAAAAATGGCAGATTTTGTGGTTATTTTCAGGGAAAATTTCGCTAGAAATCGATCGGTTAATTGCGCTGATTAGACCAGCGTTTTTAATGTTTTTCTAACAGAGGTCATCATTTGCTCTTTCAACAACAATACGCTCCAGAAATGAACCAATGGCAAAGCCTTTAACATCATGGCTAGTGCCCAGTTTTTCACATCATAATCTACACCTGGTAGTTTTGGAACGTTGTTTGCACATTTCCGTGATGAAGTTTTGAGATAAATTTGCGAGTTTACGGCAAGTAAATACCCCAAGTAACTGAGACAAGTTTCAAAATTGCTGTACAGACATGTATTTGATAAGATTTCTACCCGTCCAAATTTCGCGGTATTTTGGGTGTTTTTGTGAATTTCGCAGATTTGCCTGGATTTCGCAGCTCTGCGACCATGCGAAATATCAGAAGCCGTGTCCTTAGCAAAACAAAATTGTCATTTGGCAAAATCAGCTCCAAAAGTAATGTACAATAGCATTATTTTCAATCCCTACCCTACTCAATTTTCTTGCAGTGCATGGTACATCGTGTAATGCATGTTCTACTACATTTTTTATTAATTTTACAAACTATAATTAGTTTTTCAATAGCTCATTTTAATGTGATTCAATTACTTCTTGAATTAATTTTCCTTTCTTTTAGGAGGAAAGAGCCATGCCAATGATTGTTACATGTTGTACAGTACTAGGTAAGATGACCTTTAATCACATTTGACAGGGCTTCTGATATTTCGCGGAAAAAAAAGCAAGATTTCGCGGGATTTTCAGGGGCAAATTTCGCTAAAATCGATCAATTTTGCGTCGATATGACCTGCGTTGGTGAACATTTCTTTTAACAGGAATAATCATTTGCTCTTTCAACAACAGTTCGCTCGAGGAATGAGCGAATGCTATAGCTATTAACATTATGGTTAGTGCTCAGTTTTTCGCAACGTTCATCTAAAAACGCCTGGTAGTTTTGGGACGTTGTTTACTCGTTGCAGTGACGAAGTTTCAAGCTAAATTTGGACGTTTGGTGTGAATAAAACCGGTCTAACAGCCAAGATACGGATTAAATATGTTTTGCCGACATGTATTTGGAAATCAGTTTCTGGCGGATTTCGCGGTATTTCGCGTTTTTTTGAGAATTTCGCGGGATTTCGCGGAAATACCTGAATTTCGCGGGTCCGCGACCGCGCGAAATATCAAAAGCCCTGATTTGAACATACCATTTTAAATTGGGCCTACTAGATTTTCCATCACAACATTTTTTGAAGACAAAAGATTCTCAAGTTTTTTTGCAAATAGACCAATAAAATTCAAGGTTCATCTGTGCAACCGTTAAAAACTTTGAAACCATTTGAACTTACCTGAGCCCTCAGATTCATGAATGTTATTGAAACTTGAGAAACGTGAGAATCTTTTGTTTTCAAAAACCATTGTGATTGGATAATCTTCTTCCAAGTGCCCATTCTCTGAGCAGACTACAGTTGACTCTTTTATAATGGACACCTATACAGAACACACACCTCTGTAAAACAGACACCTAAAGTTGGTCTCTGCCTTTCTTTACTCCCTTTATTTGACTCTTTATAAGACGGACATTTCTCTGAGACGGACACTTAGTACTGGTTTCAAAGGTGTCCCTCTTAAAGAGAGTTGACTGTAGTCATTGAATGGCTTTTGGGGATCTGTTCTTCCAGCTAATGCCAGTGTTCAGGATCCAGTAAATGCATGTGTTCAGGATCTCATTGGACTAATCATGTACAAATACACAAGTGAAGGGCGGCAACCTCCATTGAAGGTAAAGCTTCTGTTCAAGCAGAAACTCTTGAGATATTAAAACTTGTTACTCTCATATGTTTGCTTTGTCCGATGCTTGTGAACATTCATTTTCGCATGTACCATATTTGAAACGAGAAGAAAAGATAACTGACCAATCAAACTTCTAGAGAAAACGAAAAAAAAAATGGCCAATAACGGACTGGCGTGTCCCAGACGTCTTTGCAAGAGATAACTCGGCCCAGTTCCTTTGTGCATTTGACACTGATTTAACAATCAGGGGCACCCAACGACTGTTTTCTGTAAAATATCTGTTCGAAGAAGCAAATGTTGCCTAGAATTTTCTGTAGTCTGAAGGTGCATAAAAATTTCTAGATGACTCTTCCATTCATGTACGACTGGGTATTACAGTCGTCGCAAGAACTAAATCAAAGACAATGGTCATGCGGATTTTTATTTATTTATTTATTCATTTTGGGCCAACAAGGGTAACAAGGGTAACATGGGGTAACAAGGGGTAACAAGGGGTAACAAGGGTAACAAGGGGTAACAAGGGGTAACAAGGGTAACAAGGGGTAACATGGGGTAACAAGGGTAACAAGGGTAACAAAGGGTAACAAGGGTAACAAGGGGTAACAAGGGGTAACAAGGGGTAACATGGGGTAAAGAGGGTAACAAGGGGTAACATGGGGTAACAAGGGTAACAAGGGGTAACAAGGGGTAACATGGGGTAACAAGGGGTAACAAGGGTAACATGGGGTAGCATGGGGTAACATTGGGTAACAAGGGTAACATGGGGTAACAAGGGGTAACAAGGGGTAACAAGGGATAAACAAGGGGTAACAAGGGTAACAAGGGGTAACAAGGGATAAACAAGGGGTAAAAAGGGTAACAAGGGGTAACAAGGGGTAACAAGGAGTAACAAGGGTAACAGGGTAACATGGGGTAACAAGGGGTAACATGGGGTAACAAGGACAACAAGGGTAACAAGGGGTAACAAGGGTAACAAGGGGTAACAAGGAGTAACAAGGGTAACAAGGGGTAACAAGGGGTAACAAGGGGTAACAAGGGTAACAAAGGGTAACAAGGTGTAACAAGGGGTAACAAGGGTAACAAGGGGTAATAAGGGGTAACAAGGGTAACATGGGGTAACAAGGGGTAACATGGGGTAACAAGGGTAACATGGGGTAACAAGGGTAACAAGGGGTAACAAGAGTAACAAGGGGTAACAAGGGGTAACAAGGGTAACATGGGATAACAAGGGTAACAAGGGGTGACAAGGAGTATCATGGTGTAAAAAGGGTAACAAGGGTAACATGGGATAACAAGGGTAACAAGGGGTGACAAGGACTATCATGGTGTAAAAAGGGTAACAAGGGTAACATGGGGTAACAAGGGTAACAAGGGGTAACAAGGGTAACATGGGGTAACAAAGGGTAACAAGGGGTGACAAGGGGTAACAAGGGTAACATGGGGTAACATGGGGTAACAAGGGTAACAAGGGTAACAAGGGGTAACAAGGGGTAACAAGGGTAACAAGGGGTAACAAGGGTAACAAGGGGAACAAGGGGTATTACAGGGTAACAAGGGGTAACAAGGGTAACATGGGGTAACATGGGGTAACAAGGGTAACAAGGGGAACATGGGGTAAAAAGGGGTAACAAGGGATAAACAAGGGGTAACAAGGGTAACAAGGGGTAACAAGGGTAACAAGGGGTAACAAGGGGTAACAAGGGTAACAAGGGTAATAAGGGGTAACAAGGGTAACCAGGGGTAACAAGGGTAACAAGGGGTAACAAGGGTAACAGGGTAACATCGGGTAACAAGGGGTAACATGGGGTAACAAGGACAACAAGGGTAACATGGGGTAACAAGGGGTAACAAGGGTAAGAAGGGGTAACAAGGGTAACAAGGGGTAACAAGGGGAAACAAGGGTAGCAAGGGGTAACAAGGGATAAACAAGGGGTAAAAAGGGTAACAAGGGATAAGAAGGGGTAACAAGGGTAACATGGGGTATTAAAGGGTAACAAGGGGTAACGAGGGTCAACAAAGGGGTAACAAAGGGTAACAAGGGTAGGAAGGGTAACAGGGTAACATGGGGTAACAAGGGGTAACATGGGGTAACAAGGACAACAAGGGTAACATGGGGTAACAAGGGGTAACAAGGGGTAAATAAGGGTAACAAGGGTAACAAGGGGTAACTAGGTGTAACAAGGGTAACAAAGGGTAACAAGGGTAACATGGGGTAACAAGGGGTAACATGGGGTAACAAGGGTAACAAAGGGTAACAAGGGGTAACAAGAGTAACAAGGGGTAACAAGGGTAACAAGGCGTAACAAAGGGTAACGATGGGGTAACAAGGGTAACAAGGGGTGACAAGGAGTAACATGGTGTAACAAAGGGTAACAAAGGGTAACATGGGGTAACAAGGGTAACAAGGGTAACAAGGGGTAACGAGGGGTAACAAGGGTAACATGGGGTAACAAAGGGTAACATGGGGTAACAAAGCGTAACAAGGGTAACATGGGGTAACAAGGGGTAACATGGGGTAACAAGGGGTAACAAGGGGTAACAAGGGGTAACAAGGGTAACCTAGGGTAACAATGGGTAACAAGGGGTAACAAGGGGTAACAAGGGGTAACAAGGGTAACAAGGAGTAACAAGGGGTAACAAAGGTAACAAAGGTAACAAAGGTAACATGGGGTAACAAGGGGTAACATGGGGAAACAAGGGTAACAACGGTAACATGGGGTAACAAGGGTAGCAAGGGGTAACAAGGGGTAACATGGGGTAACAAGGGTAACAAAGGGTAACATGGGGTAACTAGGGGTAAGGGTAAAAAGGGTAACATTGGGTAACAAGGGGTAACATGGGGTAACAAGGGGTAACATGGGGTAACAAGGACAACAAAAGGTAACATGGGGTAACAAGGGGAAACAAGGGTAACAAGGGGTAACAAGGGTAACAAGGGGTAACAAGTGGTAACAAGGGGTAACAAGGTAACAAGGGTAACAAGGGGTAACATGGGGTAACAAGAAGTAACATGGGGTAACAAGGACAACAAAGGTAATATGGGGTAACAAGGGGAAACAAGGGTAACAAGGGGTAACAAGGGTAACAAGGGGTAACAAGTGGTAACAAGGGGTAACAAGGGGTAACAAGGGTAACAAGGGGTAACTAGGGGTAAAAAGGGGTAACAAGGGTAACAAGGAGTAACAAGGGGTAACAAGGGTAACATGGGGTAACAAGGGGTAACATGGGGTAACAAGGGGTAACATGGGGTAACAAGGACAACAAAGGTAACATGGGGTAACAAGGGGAAACAAGGGTAACAAGGGGTAACAAGGGTAACAAGGGGTAACAAGGGTAACATGGGGTAACAATTGGTAACAAGGGGTAGCAATGTGTAACATGGGTTAACAAGGGTAACAGGGGTAACATAGGGTAACAAGGGGTAACAAGGGGTAACAAGAGGTAACATGGGGTACAAGGGTAACAAGGGGGAACAAGGGGTAACAGGGGGTAACAAGGGAAAGAAGGGGTAACAAGGGTAACAAGGGGTAACAAGGGGAAACAAGGGTAGCAAGGGGTAACAAGGGATAAACAAGGGGTAAAAAGGGTAACAAGGGATAAGAAGGGGTAACAAGGGTAACATGGGGTATTAAAGGGTAACAAGGGGTAACGAGGGTCAACAAAGGGGTAACAAGGGTAACAAGGGGTAGGAAGGGTAACAGGGTAACATGGGGTAACAAGGGGTAACATGGGGTAACAAGGACAACAAGGGTAACATGGGGTAACAAGGGGTAACAAGGGGTAACAAGGGTAACAAGGGTAACAAGGGGTAACTAGGTGTAACAAGGGGTAACAAGGGTAACAAGGGTAACATGGGGTAACAAGGGGTAACATGGGGTAACAAGGGTAACAAGGGTAACAAGGGGTAACAAGAGTAACAAGGGGTAACAAGGGTAACAAGGCGTAACAAGGGTAACGTGGGGTAACAAGGGTAACAAGGGGTGACAAGGAGTAACATGGTGTAACAAGGGTAACAAGGGTAACATGGGGTAACAAGGGTAACAAGGGTAACAAGGGGTAACGAGGGGTAACAAGGGTAACATGGGGTAACAAAGGGTAACATGGGGTAACAAAGCGTAACAAGGGTAACATGGGGTAACAAGGGGTAACATGGGGTAACAAGGGGTAACAAGGGGTAACAAGGGGTAACAAGGGTAACCTAGGGTAACAATGGTAAAACAAGGGTAACAAGGGGTAACAAGGGGTAACAAGGGTAACAAGGAGTAACAAGGGGTAACAAAGGTAACAAAGGTAACAAAGGTAACATGGGGTAACAAGGGGTAACATGGGGAAACAAGGGTAACAACGGTAACATGGGGTAACAAGGGTAGCAAGGGGTAACAAGGGGTAACATGGGGTAACAAGGGTAACAAGGGTAACATGGGGTAACTAGGGTAGCAAGGGGTAACAAGGGTAACATTGGGTAACAAGGGGTAACATGGGGTAACAAGGGGTAACATGGGGTAACAAGGACAACAAAGGTAACATGGGGTAACAAGGGGAAACAAGGGTAACAAGGGGTAACAAGGGTAACAAGGGGTAACAAGTGGTAACAAGGGGTAACAAGGGGTAACAAGGGTAACAAGGGGTAACATGGGGTAACAAGAAGTAACATGGGGTAACAAGGACAACAAAGGTAAAATGGGGTAACAAGGGGAAACAAGGGTAACAAGGGGTAACAAGGGTAACAAGGGGTAACAAGTGGTAACAAGGGGTAACAAGGGGTAACAAGGGTAACAAGGGGTAACTAGGTGTAAAAAGGGGTAACAAGGGTAACAAGGAGTAACAAGGGGTAACAAGGGTAACATGGGGTAACAAGGGGTAACATGGGGTAACAAGGGGTAACATGGGGTAACAAGGACAACAAAGGTAACATGGGGTAACAAGGGGAAACAAAGGGTAACAAAGGTAACAAGGGTAACAAGGGGTAACAAAAGGGTAACATGGGGTAACAATTGGTAACAAGGGGTAGCAATGTGTAACATGGGTTAACAAGGGTAACAGGGGTAACATAGGGTAACAAGGGGTAACAAGGGGTAACAAGAGGTAACATGGGGTACAAGGGTAACAAGGGGGAACAAGGGGTAACAGGGGGTAACAAGGGAAAGAAGGGTAACAAGTGGGTAACAAGGGGTAACATTGGGTAACAATGGTAACATAGGGGAACAAAGGGTAACAAGGGGAAACAAGGGGAAACAAGGGGTAACATGGGGTAACAAGGGTAACAAGGGGTAACACGGGGTATCAAGGGTAAAAAGGGGTAACAAGGGTAACAAGGCATAATAAGGGGCAACAAGGGGTAACAAGGGTAACATGGGGTAACACGGGTTACAAGGGGTAACATAGGGGAAGAAGGGTAACCAGGGGCAACATGGGGTAACAGGGGTAACAAGGGGTAACATGGGGTAACAAGGGTTACAAGGGGTGAGAAGGGGTAAGATGGGGTAACAAGGGGTAACATGGGGTAACAAAGGTAATAAGGAGTAACATGGGTGAACGAGGGGTAACATGGGTTAACAAGGGGTAACAAGGGGTATCAAGGGGTAACAAGGATAACAAGGGGTATCAAGGGGTAACGAGGGTGACAAGGGGTAACAAGGGGTAACATGGGGTAACAAGGATAACAAGGGGTATCAAGGGGTAACGAGGGTGACAAGGGGTAAGAAGGGGGATCAAGGGGTAACATGGGGTAACAAGGGGGAACAAGGGGTAACATGGGGTAACAATGGGTAACAAGGGGGGACATGGGGTAACAAGGGTAACAAGGGGTAACAAGCGGAAGAATTAGTAACAATTTGAAGAAGGGGTAACAAGGGTAACATGGGTTAACAAGGGTTACAAGGGGTAACAACGGGTAACATGGGTTATGAAGGGTAACACGGGTAGCATGCCCTAATAAGGGTAACAAGGGGTGACAAGGGGTAACGTGGGGTAACAAGGGTAACAAGGGGGAACAAGTTGTAACATGGGGTAACAAGGGGTAACAAGGGGTAACATGGGGTAACAAGGGTAACAAGGGGTAACAAAGGGTAACATGGGGTTACAAGGTTAACAAGGAAAACAAAGGGGAACAAGGGGAACAAGGGGGAATAGGGGTAACAAAGGGTAACAAGGGTAACATGGGGTAACAAGGGTTACAAGGGGTAACAAGGGGTAACATGGAAGAAGGGGTAACGTGGGGTAAGAAGGGTAAGAAGGGGTAACAAGGGGTAACTTGGGGTAAGAAGGGTAACAAGGAGTAACAAGGGAAACAAGGGGTAACAAGGGATGTAAGGGCTAACAAGGGGTAACAAGTTTGGGAGGGTAAACAAGGTACATTATAGTGTTATGGTTTAGTCTCCCTCGCAGCCGTTGCTAGGGTCGTCACCTAACGCTCCTTCCGAGCGTTGCGTGACGACCCTAATATCGGCTGTGAAGGAGACAAGGTACTTGTTAGGTTTGGGTTGTTTGTAGGTGTTAAGTCGTGGGAAGTGAGTTCATCCCAAGTTTGTTAGGTGTTAAGCTGACTTCGTTGTTTTTCATTAGCATGATATAAAGTCCTGCTCCTTGCATATTGCTGAGGAAGACGGTGAAGTTGACACTGATTTTCCAGGTAAGGGATGAACAGAAATTGTCAGCAATTGCTTGAAACATTTCATTTAGAGCTTAGTAGAGATAAAATCTATGGCAGTGAAAGAGATCGCCTAATAAACCTGCACGCCCGCCTGTCCTGCTCGACAATCACGAGGGACTGCGAGGAAATCGCAAATTAGACTGTTTGCACATGATGTCACGTTCATCATATTAGGCTGATTTAGCAACAGAACGGGAACGTCATTTGACGACGGGAAAGCGCGCGGAAAGGACCTAAACTCGACTTCCGGTGCCAGATTTGCTGCTTAGCCATTGGTCAAGCCAATTGTTTGATTTGCGCGCGCCGTCATCAGCTGACGTTCCCGTTCTGTTGCTAAATCAGCCTATAGGTGTCCTAAATTAATCCTGTGGGAGCTGAACCTTTTTCTTATGTAAGAAAGTTCGGATCATTATACGTTTCTGGGAAACTGCCCACCTACCCCTCCCCTAAGCCAACTTTTTGTCCTAAATGGAAAGTAAGTGTTAAAGTTGGCTTAGGGGAGGAGTAAGTAGGCAGTTTCCCCTGAAGCGTATAATTATCCCCTTTGGATCAAAATACGTTTTTCTTATGTAAAAACTCTCTTTTTTTTCAATAAATTTACATAGCTGCTGACCATGTGAGTGAAAACGCTTTGTAACTGATGAAATGACTTTTTCGGAGGCGGGGGGCGGGGGGCGGTGGGGGGAGCAGTGCAAAGGGAAAACAAGGAAACGCCAGTAAACAGGGGGGAAGGGTGAGAGGGGTTTGTCTCCTTCTCCTTCTTTCCCCACCACTCTCCCCAACATCACACTTTGAAGACAAGTAGATAACTACTGTCATACCTTTCGAACCAGAAGATTAGAACAGATAGTAATGTTTGACTGTTCTTTCTTTTAAGCTCTCGACAGCAAAGAACCGATTTCGAAATTTGATTTCCCGTGCTTGGCGTTAGTTCAGGTATTTTATTTTCTGTTAACTTTGATCTTTTTTACTACAGCCACAAGACAAACATTTCTTTAGTTTAAATCAGCTTTTTTCTTGATGGTGTCAATGATGCTGCACAATCCCGGTTCTGTCTCTGGAGCCAGTGGATAAATTCTTAGCAACTTCATCCCGGAAACATGGATGCTTAAGGGAAGTGAATTAAAGTGTAAAATATTTGGTTGGTTTTCAGAAAGACGCAAGTCCTGCCAAGCCAGCACCTCCAAAACCCTCATCTGGGGTCATCATAACAGTGTAAGTATGAAAGCAGTCACATACCATGCCTGGTTAGTGAAGGGTTTTTAGCAACGACGACAGCGACAATAGCAAGCGAGACAGCAATTTTTTGACACGTAGCACCCCAGTGGTACATTTCGTTGCCGTCATTGTACGACCGCGACGTGAAATTTCCTGATGCGACGTTTTATGGAGGACGTTAACACACGACGAGGAATTTTTCTTTTTCTTTATATTAAACTTGATTACGATCCCCAAAGATTCATCTCCAGGAAAATTCGTTTGCATTTGACAAAATGAGCAAGTACTGTAAAGCTTGAAAGATCGCAAAATTTAATGCATTTTCAGTGACGTTTTCCTTGCCGTCGGGTCGTCTCTCTATTAGGGAGCTCAAGCAACGACAACGAGGACGACCAGGACGTCAGAGAACAGTTATTTTTATGATCAAAACAACAGCTCTGCACGTGCATCTCGCTTTTCAGTACATTTCTTTGACCTCCAGTGCACAACTACGACGTATTACCTCCATAGGCGACGTTTTATAGAGGACGTGAGCGAACGACAACGAACTTACGTCGACGAATGTTCCTCTCTCTTTTTCAACCTTGATGAAGTCCTTAAGAATTCACTCCAGCAGACATTGACAGGTTCCAATAGACGCGACAAAGTTTGAAACGACCCAAATTCATTGTTTAGCGACGTTGTCACTGCCGTCGTCTCCCTGTATTTGGGAGCTTAAGCAAAGACGACGGCGGCGGCAACGAGAACGTCAAAAAAGCAATGGGTTTAGATTGACAAAACAATAACATTGCACGCGAACACGCCTTTTTGTACATTTCTTTGCCGTCACTGCACGACTACGACGTGTAAGTGCTTAATTTCACGTTTTATGTATTTAGGTATGAAGCACAGCATGGCTTTTCCAAAGTAAAAGTGGATAGTGTGAACGCCCAAATGAAGCGAGTGTTTGAAATAATAAAAAAGAAGAGAGGCCTTAAACGAACAGGTTCGCATTTTATGATGTTACACGTCACAGTTCTAAGGCTTAGCTCCCTTGCCTTTTCTTCTTCCTTCCTCACTTTCTCTTCACTTTCTCTGATTTTCTCTTCTTCCCTCCATCCTCCTTTCCTCTTTCCCTTTCTTTCTCTCTACCTTCCGTCCACTACTCCTGTTCTATTCCTTTTTCTTACCTCTTTCCTCCCTTACCACCTCCTATCTTACCCTCCCTTCCTCTTTCCATTAATCCCACCCTTCCTCTTTTCTTCTCTCCCACTCTCAATCTTTCTTGCCTCATCTTCCCTTCCTTCCTGTTCTACCGTCCTTCCACTACTCCAATTTTCTTCCCATTTCATACCTATTCCTCCCTTACCAACTCCTTTCTTACCCTCCCTCTCTCTCTTCCATTAATCCCACCCTTCCTCTTTTCTTCTCTCCCTTCCTCCATCTTCCTCGCCTCATCTCCCTTTCCTTCTTGTTCTACCTTCCTTCCACTACTCCAATTTTCTTCCCTTTCCATACCTATCCTTCCCCTACCAACTCCTATCTCACCCTCCCTCCCTCTCTTTCATTTATCCCATCCTTCCTCTTTTCTTCTTTTCATCTTCCTCGCCTCTTCTGCCCTTCCTTCCTGTCCTACCTTCCTTCCACTACTCCAATTTTCTTCCCCTTTCATACCCATTCCTCCCTTACCAGCTCCTTTCTTACCCTCCCTCCCTCTCCTCCATTTATCCCAGCCTTTCTCCTTTCCTGTCCTCCTTGCTTCGTTCATCTGTCCGAACTAACGTAGTGAAAAATTCTGAAGGATCGTTTGTAAACCTTACTTCTTATTCTAGCCAAAGAATATGTGTTGGAAAAGCAGTCAGAGCCAGGCGTCCCCATAAGTCTGGATGCAACCTTGGAGAGTATGGGAACAAAGGAGTTTTGTCTTGTCAGATTTGGTCGTAAGTGCTCTCGTCTTTAGTTTTTCAAAATTCAAATATTCAGTTAGAGATTGTAAACTAACATTCGATCCCGTTATCTTTTTTAAAGTGTACCTTAATATGTCCCCCTCTCATTTTCCAAAGTGTGGCTAAGCCTTAATCTGTTTATCTTTTTTGAACGATTTGTTTTGTTTCGTTTTTTTTTTTCAAATGACACTGTGCCTTGAACAAGTTAGCCCGTCGGTTTCATGGAAGTTTTAGCCCGCGCTTTTTCATGAGCCTGAGATAGGTGGGGTGGGGGCGGTCTCCAAAAATTTATTTCGGCCCTTGGTCTAAAAAGAAAAGGGGCTGGGCCCCTCCCCTGGATCTGACCAGGGAGCACTAAATTTTTGTGGCTTTTTTAAAGCAAAGAATTCAGATTTGAAAAACAAAAAACTGAAAATGCTTTATGTGTAAGTTTCAATCCATGTGAGTCAATCCTTGCCATCCTTTGCAACAGACGGGGGGAAAGAGTTTCATTGCTTTAATAATTATAGCCTTAAATAACAAATCCGGATCACTATTTTTAGAATTTAGTTGATGAGAAGAAACGTTTTAGCTTTTTGAAAAGTTGGCAAGTAGCCTGTCATTAGGGAGTTTAAGCAGCGACGTTTTAGAGGGATGCACGTCAACCGGAAGTGGGGTTTTTGTACTCTTAGGCCGTGTTTTTGAACAAATTCTTAGACAAATCGTCTCACTTTCGGTTGACGTGGCTGCTTAAACTCCCCCCGGGGGGGAGGTACTTTAGGAATTTCTGGTAGGGGATGTGTCGCTGGGACCCTGGAACCCTTAACCTATACCAGTGCTAGTTCAGCTGAATTTTGCTACTGCAGGCTGCTCTAACAACTTACACTACAGTAAACACCCGCATATAAGAACAAATGGATTAAGAACACCAGGCTGAAATTCGGCCAATAAAGCCCCATTTTTATATGAACAAGATCAGCCTGAAAATTGTAACATGTACTTATAAAATGGAAAAAGTGTCATAATTACATAACATGTAAGTTTATTCTTGCTGTCAGATAACTTCATTTGCTAATATAATCAAATTAAAGAATAATTATTTATTTTATTTTCCTAAAATATGATAAATATTCCACTAGCAGCATGTTTTGGATAGTATTACTAAATAAAAATTTAAGAACATTTTAAGATCATTTTGAGGCTGATTTGTCATTAAGCACCCGATAAATAAGAACTCAATCAGCCTGACCTCCGAAATTGTGTGTTCTAACAGTATATTTTGTACGCAACAGGGAAACCCAATGACCCAATGATCAACCATGATGACAAAATTGACTTCATCGTACCTATACAATACAGGGTGAGAGTTAATTGTTTACGTAGCAATAAGAATGCTCACAGTAGAGGCCTTAAGATTCTAAGACGTGGACAACTAAGAGAACACGATTTTCTCACTAGGAAGATTTAGAGCCACGTTTACCACAATCAGCAAGTTGAGAATTTCTCACATTAAGAGATGAGCAGATAAAAACTGTACCAAACAATTCCTTTGGATAAACCTGGTATGAAACTACTAATTTTTTTGTAGAAGTAATGAACAGTAAAGGACAATTAAACGGAAAACTTTGTCACGTGGTACATTTCCGTGTCCGCCGTTTGCCGTAAACGTGACTCTTCAATACTAAATAGTGCTCGCACGTGAGCCAGCGTCATTTTGGCGGGAAAAAGTGATAGCGGTCTTCATTCTACTAACAGTAGTCATGGTGTCGGGAACAAGTTGTCAAATGCTAGAAATTTTATCATTTTGCTACTGGAAGAGGGCTGAACCTCCTCCACTAAAGATAACAGTGTCTACTTTTCTGGTGAGAAAAAGTACAGTGAACCATTCCAGGTGTCTATTTTTTGACAATACGCGAAAAACGTTAAATCAAATCTTGTACTCTTAGTACAGTCGTTCCCGTCCTCGAATCTAAAGGACTCTAGTGCTTGACATAAGAAAGTTTAAGATTCACGTTTACGCCAAGCGACAATCGTGAATTTGTACCACGTGACCAAGTTTTCCTCCTAATTTCCGTTTACTGTTTATTACTTCTACACAAAAATAAGTAGTTTCACGCCAGTTTTATTCATAAGAATTGTTCTGGACAGGTTTTAACTGCTTACTTTTTATTCTGAGAAATTCTCAACTAGAATCTGACGTTTGCCGTTTGCCGTAAACGTGATTCTTAATCTCTCTGTTGGACAACAAATACCGCGGCTAAAACAGCCTTTCGTTGGAACAGAAGTCAGAGATTAAACGCATTATCGCTTGTGAGCTAATGTTTGCATCTTAGTTTAAGTCATTAAACCTGTGGTTTCTAACACTCGAAAGCCTTAGAATAAAGAAAAAAAATGTTCTTTATTTGAGTGTCAAAGTATTTAGAGCGGTTTTCATTTGAGTGTCGAAAAGTTATTGGTTTTGCACTTTCTACGCGATGCGATTGGCTTAAAAGATTCGCGCCACCTTTTCATCCAATCAGAAGTAAAACCAAAGCCAATTGTGACGCGCTTGCATGCATTTTCCCGCGCTTTGCGTCAGCCACATGTAATTACTTTGAGTTTTGATTGGTTCAATGTATTGTCTGTGTCCTATGTGATTGGCCAGAGTAATTACTTTGGTTTTGGTTTTACGACACTCAAACGAAAACCACTCTAGCACGAAAGTACTAATACTGATGACACTATGTTTACGTTCCTCTTACGTAATCATGTAGGAGTATCTAATTTAGGATTATTGCTAGTCCCCCACTGGATGGGATGCTTATGTCGCTGGAACCCATTTATATTCCTGGGTGGGGTGAGACGTCATGTAGCAAAGTTTAGGAAGCTTTAGCAACGACGACGGCGACAGCAACCAGGACGTCAAAAAAGCAATAGGTTTGTTACGCGAAACAACAACTTTGCACGTGCATCACGCCTTTTGTACATTTCCTTACCATCCTTGCATGACTACGACGTGAAAATGCCTAATTGCAAATTTTATGGAGGACGTAAACAAGCGACGACGAATCTCTTTTTCTCTCTCTAAACTTGAGTGCGGTCCTCAAGAAATCAACTCCAGAGAAATTCGGGTACACTTGCCATTTTCAGCAAATTGGAATAAACGCGACAAAGATTGAAAAAAGGGGAATTCATTTTAAAACTGACGTTTTCGCTGCCGTTGCCGTCGTCGATGCTAAAGCTCCCTTTTTTAGGAAACAGCGCGACGGCGCGGCCTACAGATTGCCTATCCCCCTTTTGTCTTATTTTCTTTATTATATTCATCAAACGTTTTTTCTGATTTGAATCCTTAGCCTTATCTTGTCAGTATGTTACAGAAACTTCGACCAGTTACAGCAGTTCAGTTAGGTAAGTTTTAGAACTGTTAAGTAAAATTCCTAATGCAGTTAAGGAACCTGCCTTGTCCCTAGGCCCCTTCTCAAAGTGGTAGCAAGAGAAAGCCTGTGGCGAGTGGGGGAAAGAGGAAAAAGGGGAAAAGGCTAGCCGAAGGGGAGGGGGGAAGGGCCCCGTTTCCCCACTTCCCTCTCTTCCCATCTCCTGGCGGTAATTAGCTGTAGGAGGTGGGGGCATTTCCTCACTTCCCCCTATTCCCATCTCTTTACGATAATTAGCTGTAGGGGGCGCGGGGAGGAGGGCCCCATTTCCACACTTCCCCCTCTTCCCATCTCTTTGGGTTAATTAGCCCTTTCCCCAAACGGAGAGCCTGTTCCCAGGTTAGGAAACCTGTGGACAACGTTGCGCAGTGGTTTCAAAGATAATGAAGATATATCTAGAAAACCAACCTAACGAAATTTGCAGTCATTTGACTGAAAAGGCGTCAAAAGGCAGGTTTCTTAAGCCCGAGAAGCTTCAAAATCACAGTAACGAAGGAAAAGGAAAGGAGAAAGAGGAAGAGCGAGGAGAAGGAAAGGAGGAGAAGAAAAAAAGCAATGGTTGCACTCTTAGTTTTTATAATAGCTACTTTGGAGATAGTTTTTGGCCGAAAAAACTGTTGAACGCAAAAGGTCTATTTCAAAAATCCAGCTAGATACATATATTTTTGTACGATAAGATAGCTTGTGAGGAGGCTGTTGAGGCAATTTTTAGTCTGAGGCAGTTGTGCTAGCTTTCTTGCAATCAAAAACAATTTTTCAGAGAAGTGAAGTAACACATTTCGCTAGTTTCGTTATAGGCTGAAGTGATTCTAGAGAATTATAACGGTTCGCTACTTTGAACTTGAGAAGGAACTGGTTTCCTTTTGTTAATTTAGCATTACTTGTTCTTCTTGATTAGGGATTTCTCTCGAGAAAATAGAAATTGACCCAGTTCTTCAACCTAATGCAGCAAACAGGTTTTGGAGGAAGCAAAAGCCGGTAAGTATTTTCTGAAGCAAATATTCCAGCATATAACGCCCTGGGGGGGGGGGGGGGGGACTCTGGATTTCAAGTGACGAATGGGGGCATAAAATCAAATCAAAATCCAAAAAATATCCCTGGGGCCTCTAACAAAACCCCAAAAAATCCCAGGACCAAAAATTAACCCAAAACAAAATCCCATACCGAGTTTCCAAGCCTTAAAAATTTCCAGAAAGCATCAAATGATACAACTTGCTGTACTTTATTTGGTTGTTCTTTAGTCGCAGAACTACGCAGCCGGGATACGCGGGCACTACCATGAATCTTCAGATTGTTTTGAACACCCCAAAAAATGCCTACTTGAATCAAGCCACCGGAAAAAAATACTTGCCCTAAAAATCCCAGAATCGAAAATTCCAAACCCCAAAAAATCCTTCGATCATCCCCGTTCCCCCGTGGGCTTTCCATGAGCAATTTACTACAGGAACAGTGTCAGGAAATTTATCAAAATTCAGACAGTGGGAACCGTCACCAAACCCCGGATTTCTTTCATAAACTCACTTCAAAACCACCCTCTTCAAAGACTTACTATATTTTTCAGACGACCATAGAAATGGAGAATGTTGTCGACTGCCAGTTAATGGAAGAAAAAAGCAATGGAAAATCTCTGTTTAGAGTTATTTACTTCAGCCAGAACGCTCGTGACTTCAAGCACTACGACTTTGAAGCAGAATCCGACATGTCTGGTAAGTGCTTCGGCGTCTTTCTGGGTTGATCCTTTGTGAAGCATTGTATAGGTACACCACTGCAAAACCCGCTCTGGATTGGTTACTTTTAAACCTTTGATTACATAAAGCACCTTCTGATTGGATAGTAACGAAAGTCTGATCTTATGACGAGCGACGGGGTTTACTGGCCCCCGCCCCCTAAGAAGATTTGACGCTCATCCCCAGACAGACTCGGATCGGACGATCCTACGGCAAAAGAGAGGACTGGGACTGTTAACAGTCTACAAATCATTTTCTGTTTTTATTTCTTTGTAGGAGAGATAGTCAAACAGGTCAATCACATTATCAGATCCAAAATAGGCGGAGTAAGGTCCGAATATCTGGCTACGAAGGAGAAGAAACTCGAAAAAAGAAGGTCCTTTAGGTATTAATCCTCTCGCCGGATTGGCTATGCAAATCAGAGTCAACTGGAATCAGTGGGTGTGTGAAGGAAGACCACCATTCGCCACTTTAGAAACGCGAGGGAACTGGAGCCGGAATACGTCCCGCAGTTGTTTCTGGGATCGTTACTGGGGACGCACCGGTCAGCTATTGGCCAATTTTTCTCTGTCCCCTTGCGAAAGTTAACTCGGCTCAGTTTTCTTTTCCTTTTTAAATTGGCTAGTGGAAAGGAAATATCGCAATCGCTGCCTGGAGTAAGCTTCCCTGGTATGCGGCCATTATTTAAATCGTAACGCAACTCACCTACAAAAGGTGGTAAAACACTGCGCAACGGCTCGCCTTCCTCAGTGAATTGTTTAATACGAGGATTTTTGTAGACGCGGATGAACCTTTTCCATCTACTTATAATGTTGATTGTAGGAAAGATAACCTCTGTGGAAAATGTCAACTTGAAAATAGATTCATACAGGCCATTTCCGAGTTCCAAAAACTCTCACTTTCAAAACGAGGCTTATTGCAAAAACCTTTGCTGTGAAAATGAGTTTTGATTTGCATGACAATGAAAAAGCAATGCCATATCAATGGCTACGCACTCAGCCTCGTTTTGAACAAAATGGCAAATGAAAACTGGAAAATAAAAATAGAGTCGTCTTGTATCCCCGTCCTCCAAATAACGTGAAATTAGGCAATTTCAAATCGTAGTCGTAAAGTGACGGCAAAGAAATTGCCTAAGCTCGCTATTATATTAAAGGGAACCTCCACTCTTACTACAGAATAAGTTTAAATCGAATAAAATAATGTTGATGAACAAATTTGTTCGAAATTTGTCCTTAAAAAAGTGTTTATATCAGGAAAAGTGAATTTTAAAATCGCTTATTTTCACTTTCAAATTTCGCGGGCGCCGCCATCTTGAATAATTGTGACGTGTTACGGTTGCTCTATTGTTCTGACACAAAGAGCTTTTGTTTAATAACAATAGGGCAACCATTACACGTCACAATTATTCAAGATGGCGACGCCCGCAAAATTTGAAAACAAAAATAGGCGAATCTAAAAGTTATTTCTTTCGGATACAAACGCTTTCTTTAAAAATATTTTAGATTGACTTGACTGTAACAGTTATTTCCTGTGATTTAAAGTTATCTTTTTGTTGAAGTGGAGGTTCCCTTTAACGATATTTAGAAACGATTAAGGATGACGACGTAGATCATAAAAAATCGTGCATCATTCCTTTCTAATTTAAAATTAATATTTTCGTGAGGTTTATCAATCGATTCGCCTGAAAATTCTACCTAAAGTCAGACTGTTATGTCTGTCAAAAATGACAATTACAGAAAACTGAGAACTTTTAATTTATAGGTTACAGCTGTACGAGGTTATCTGCATAATATTGTTTTTAGATTAAAGTTCTAAGTTCTGCCAATTTTTTGTCACCCAAATAACACTGCAATTTATAATACAAATCGAACAGCAAAAGTTTCATTACGTTTGGAGTTTTTTTTTATGTAATACAGGACGAATAAGAACATAAAAAACGAATAAATCGGGAGACAAACAAAAAAAGTTTAGGTCTATCGTTTAAACATGACATAGGAAAACCGTTATAACTTCCTCCACGATGCGTATACAGACTAGAAAGGTCATGTCATTTTTCAAAGGCTGGATCAAGTTAGTAAAAATTAACCTTCTTGAATCTGATTCTGACTTGCGAATACGTCGCGCAGAATGTTCTTGATAGCGCATCGGATGTGTCTAAACTTCCAGCAGTAAACCCGAGGAAAAAGGGATGAACTCAAATATAACAGCGTCCGAGTGTAAATTAAGAAATGTTCTCTCATTTTCTTCACCTGTCCGACCAGGATCACTAGCGATTGGCAAGTGGCCAACCAAAAACAACAGATAGACTTGTTTAGCCTTCCTGAATCTGATTCTGTCTTGCGAATATGTCGCGCAGAATGTTCTTGATAGCGCATCGGATGTGTCTAAACTTCCAGCAGTAAACCAGAGGAACGAGTGATGAACTCAAATATAACAGCGTCTCAGCGTAAATCATCAAAAGTCGTCTCTTCTTACTCCTCTTTCGTCCGGTCAGGATCACAATAGCGATTGGTAAATGGCAGGCCAAAAACAACAGATAGACGTAAAATGTACCAACTGCTGTTTTTCTCAGTCTTTCGAAGTTTGAGCGATTTTCTTCGTTCGGTGCCACTGCTTGGGCTGGCTCTGCGTGAACTTGAACGGTGTGGCGACGTACGGCTATGTAAATCTTGAAATAGATTAGAGCCATGGTCAATAAACAAGCCATTCCCACAGCTACTCCTGCAATGTTACCAGGATATTCACTGCTTAAAACACCGTTCAGAGCCAGGAACGCACTGAGAATCCAGCTTAAGATCACTGTTGCTACAACACGCTTGTAAGTCACAATTTCTTGGTAGGTGAGAAGGTCCTGGTGTTTGAGGTGAAGGTGGATAGCAAGGAATCTGTCAACGCTGATAGTTGTGACACCGAAGAATGAGACATAACCAAGGGTTCGTCCTATGGTTCTAACCACGTCCTCATAAGTCTCGTTCCAGTGGTGGTTAGTGTTTTTTATTTCCATGAGCAGGCGCGCGATGTACAAAGGCTGGACAAGTAATCCCACACCAATATCAGAAACAGCCACGCTAAGGATCAATGCTTTTAGAGTCTTTGGCAGTGATGAAGTCCTTCTCAGCGCGAATATTAAGACGATGTTCAACATCACTGTTGCGTAAGACAGGAAGAAATTGACGACGCAGTTTAGGACGAGGGAAGGAGTGAACTCTCTTGCCTCTTCCATTGTGAATTATAACTTCCTTTTTCCAAGAGAATTGAAGCGGAGCCAGTAGGGTATGCTCTCTTGAATAAATATACGTTTGTGAGTAATACGTTGGACGAATAGATCGGATGAAGGACTCTCCACGAATGCCTCTACTTTATTCCGCCTTTCCTCTTAAGAGCTCTTCAAAACCAGAGTCCAGGTGGCCTGGCCTTGAAAGATGCAACGAGGAACTGTTTTAGGATCGAACGAATGTCCTAAAGATTATCACGTGATGTAACCTTGCTGACGTTTTGAAGCATGTGTTGCAAACTGGGGTAAATTTGGACGTAAGAAATATAAAAACCTTTGAACCTCAAGGCAATTATATTAAAAGCTCATTTCCAATAAACTTTCGTCGTGCAAAGGTGGTGTGCATTATCCAGTATTTTTTTCACATTTTGTTAAGTCGCATGGTTTTTGTTAGCACAAAGTCAAAGTTAAAGCCCTTCCTAGAAGCCTCAGAAAAACGAATAAACGGGAAGATTTGTTTAACTTCGTATTCTACATCAGTTTTGCTAGAGTTCTATGTTTATTCTAGAGAAAGAAAATTACTGCTCATCTTTAAAGAGGGGGAGATAGAGGGTTCCGGATTCAAAATTTTCCACGTCCACAAGTATCCGTATTGGTATTCAAATCGAATTTTCCTACAGGTATCCGGATTCACTCTAGTACCTAGGACTCCCCTGGGAATATTGGCAGCAGAGCGCTACCAGTGGGTTGATATATTGTTTGTGTAAATGCGTCATTTGAATTCAGCAATTTCCTTGTAATAAGCTCTTAAAGAAGATTTATGTACCTCGCTACAATAACATGTGTGGTGTCAAGGTTAAATTTTCTGGTAGTTTTCTTGTCCTTGTGCTTGTCAAAGGTAGAACACCTCCGGTTTTGAATTGTCGTTTCGCCAACAAGTTGTTTCGCCTACTCTGAGGTCGATTCGCCTGCAAGTTCTTAATTGATTGGCTTCATTGACGTTTTACGTAATTTACAATCGTCGCTAAAGAAAAATTACAAAATGCGGCCGGATTTGCGATGGATTTTGTGATTTAATATTTTGCAATTTGCTCAGTCGATTAACTTGCGTGATCGAACTTTTAGTTTTTTGAAAAATATATTTCAAGAATCTACATCTCTGTGACTATTATG